GTCACCTAAGAAAACACATATTTCTGGGGGGAGTGGGGAGGGAGGCGGGGGAAATGAGGAGCTGATACCAAGGGCTCAAGTAGAAAGCAGGTGTTTTGAGAATGATGATAGCAACATATGTGCGAATGTGCTGGACACAAATGATGTATGTACGGATTGTGAAAAGAGTTATATGAGTCCCTAATAAAATGATTTAAAAAAAAAGAAAACACGTATTTCCGATGGTCTTAGGAACCGAGACACTGCTCCTCTATCCGTCTCCAGGAGGGTCCACCCACATACAGACACGCCCACAGACGAGTACCCGGCATGAAGACTGTTACCCATGCCACACCATGCTTCAAGACACAATTTCATTTATTTGTCATTAGACATAAATATTTCACAATATATATAATGACATTGTTTTTGTGATGAATCACTATGCTTTAATGATGTTCAATTTGTAACAATGAAAATACATCCTGTATATCAGATATTTATGTGACGATTCATCACAAATAGCAAAATTATAGTTATAAAGTAGCAACGAAAATCATTTTATGGTTGGGGGTGGTTACCGCATAAGGAACCGTATGAAAGGGTATCATTAGGAAGGTTGAGAGCCACTGTTCTATAGGGAGATAGAATCAACCACGTACTCACTTTAAGGCAGCAAAGCTGTTAGGGGAGACTCTCTGGGAATGATATTTAAAGCAGGATAATGTGCTTGGACTTTATCTCTAACTTACCAAAGTGGTGGCTTTCCTACTGTGGAATACTAGCTTTCCAGATTCCCTGTGTTATAAGTTAGGGAATATAGTCCTCATCATATTCCCCTCAGTGTTAGTTTCCCACAATGACGTTTCTTGGTGGTGGGACTCTGCTAGACTTGCTTTGTGGGTTCAACCCAGCGTCCAGCCAGAGTTGCTGCTCACGGGTGTTGCCAGTTTTCGTCTCCTGGGCCAACACTCACTCCTCAACCCCTACCACCACTAGGGATTTCTAAATTTTTGTTAAGCTTTGTTTTTTCTGTATATTTGAAAATACACAAAGCGAACCAAAGACGACCCAACAATTTCTACCTGTCCAATTCAGTTACCTTGGTGACATCCTTCAGTTTGTACAACCCTATCACCTATCATTTTAGAAATCATTGCTGAAATCCTATGCAAATTCTCACTGGGGGTTCTCTAGGGGTAAAGCTGGGGTTCTCTCTGGACACCTCCATCTTCTCCAGCTGGCCCCTCTACCTGCAGGGCATGTACAACGCCACCACGCGCCAGGTGGAAACGGAACTCTTCCCTTGTCTCAGACACTTTGGACTGAGGTTCTACGCCTACAACCCTTTGGCCGGTATGGGGGCTGTGGTGGAGAGGGCTCTCCTG